TCAAAAAATTAGCTGGGCATGGTAGCACGCGCCTGTAATTCCAGCTACTTGGAAGGCTGAAGCGGAAGGATCGCCAGAGCCCAGCAGGTCGAGCGGGCACTGCACTCCAGTCTGGGCAACACAGTGAGACTCCAACTCAAAAAAAAAAAGAGATGTGAGGATGGGCCACAGCTGAGAGAATGAACCAGGAGAAACCAGAGCTGAGCAGGGGAGATGCTTTGCCCAATTCCCAGGGCATTTTTTTTTTTAAGAGACAGGGTCTTGCTCTGTTGCACAGGCTGGAATGCAGTGGTGCAATCATAGCTCACTATAGCCCCAAACACCTGGGCTCAAGAGATCCTCCTGCCTCAGCCTCCCAAGTAGCTGGGACGCATGCCACCACCATGCCTGGTTAATTTTTTTTTTTTTTTGTAGCAACAGGCTTTCACTCTGTTGTCCAAGCTGGTCTCAAACTCCTGGCTTCAAGCAATCCTCCCACTTTGGTCTCCCAAAATGCTAGGATTATAAGTGTGAGCCAATGTGCCTGGCACCCAGAGCATTTCTGAATGACCTTTATTCCAAAACAATGAAGCTTCCCAGTCTCAAATGATATGTTTGTTGGGAGCAGATATATACACAAAGAAGAGGCAGGAGAAAGAACCTGTTATAGCCTGTGGAGTCTCCTCCTGTTTTCAGACCCTTCCCATCTGCAGAGCTCACCTGGCAGATTATAAAGCCGGACCACCTGGTGAATATGTTCGTAGTATGCAACCACCTCTGAGAAGAAGGGGCCTTCAGTGACACGCAGCACAGGGGGTTCCTTGGGGACATAGGGCTGGGGAAACAGCAGGTGGTCACTGAACTCACAGCACAGAAAGAAAAGCCAGGAGGTGCCAGCCCAGGGCTGGGCAAGGGAGTGCTCATTTCCAGCAAGCTCTGACTGATACCCCCCCGCTGAGTGGATGGAGTTGCTCAGCCCACCTCCCAGAGGCAGCAAAGGCAAGTAGTCAGTCTAGGGCAAGGTCTGTGCCCCCGGCTCATGCCCTCCCTGGGAAACCTCCCAGAGCCTGCTGAGTTTCTCAAGGTGTTTTTAGGGTACCTTGGCCTCGCCATCAGGCAGGAAGAGGTAGGCTCCACTCTTGTCTTTGGATGTGCGGGTGCCATAGATGAGGAACTCCATGTCCACCCTCTGCTCCTGCTCCTCGTCCACCCTTCGGATGCTCTGCCAAAAAACATAGCCCTGACCCCTGGCCCCACACCAGCATGTCAGGCCTGCCTCCTGGGAGGACAAGGACTAACTTCCCCAAGAAGCCACGCCCAGCTTCCCCCACACCGTCAGCTGGGAGCTGAGAGGGCTCACGCATGGTCCCCAGTCGGTCAGGTGGCAGCATGCTCATGGGGCCAGAAGGCAGCCCTGCACTGACATGCATGCCCTGCTCTGGCCCCTGGCCCTTCCCCACCACCCCTAGCCCTTTACCTTGAGGAGCCCAGTAAGGCCTGAGAACCAGACCTGCATGTAGCGGTTGCTGAGGGCGAAGTCGCTGGTGCCAGAGTCAATGATGTGGAGAGGGAATGCCTCATGCCTGCTGATGGACAGCTGCCGGCCGTGCAGGTAGATGCGCACGGAGGAGGGCAGCGTGCGGTGCCCATCCAGGCCCAGCTGCAGTTGCAACACACCCAGGCCCAGGGCTGGTAGGCGGACAGGCACAGATACCTGCAGGCACAAGAGAGATGAGGAAGCATGGGCCATGGCATGGTGTCAGTTCCAGATGCAGGCCTAGCATTCTGGAGCTGGGGCATTCGCTTACTAACAGAGGGCCTGGACAAGTCCCTAGCCCCATCAGGGCCTCTGTCCTCTCCTCCAACACTGGAGGTGATAAGACTTGCCCCATATTCCTCGTCAGACTTATGAGTCTCAAATGATATTTGAAAAACTATGAGATGGTAGCCACGCATTAAGCTCTCAATAAATGTGGAATGAATGAATGATAGGACATTATAATGGCTATTTTTACTATTATCATCACCACTCCAGCCTTCCCTTCCTTTTCAAGGACAGACTCACATCCCAACAGCAAGCATCCTATGGGCAGCCCCTCTCCCCAGGACACCCGCCCCAACCTGGAGGGCAAGCACGGTCACAAGCAGAAAGATGGAAAGCTGGTGTCAATGGGCAGAGTAGTCAGTGATGGGCACAGAGGACCAAGGTCAGAGCCACCCACTAAGCCCTCGCCTCACCTGGTAGACATCAGGGACCACCTCGGTGGCAGAGCTCCAATGTGCACTGATCTGCACAGCCAGGGGCTGCCCCTCCTCTGAAAGGACACGCACCCGGGGAGAGTTGACCAGCAGGGACACCACGCTCAGCCGCTCCTGTTCCAGCGGGTTGAATAGCACCACAAACCTGTGCACAGAAGGTGGGGTGACCCGGCAGGAATGTTGGCCAAGGTGAGAGCCCCGTGGTGGTTCAGCAGGTAGGTGGGTGAAGGGGCTGAGAGCAGAGAGTGCCCCCGCCTCTCTGTGTGGCCTGGCCCAGCTCACCTGGGTGAGGAATCCAGCTGGATCACTGTGCGCTCCGGCAGGGCATCATGACTTAAGCGGGTGTCATCCTGGAAGAAGTGGGCAGGAAGGGAAGGACCATCACGGGGCTGGCTCCTTCCCCCGTGATGGATGTGGAGCACCAGTGGCACTGGGCAGAGAACTCACCCAGGAGCAGGGAGGGAAAGGAGCAACACCCTCACCAACAGCTCTTGGAATGGGACCTGTCTCCCCTGGCAAATCCAGGAGGCGGGCTCACCATTTGGAGGAAGGGTGCCTCAGGGTCAAAGTGGTAGGTCTCCTTGTCCCCCAGCACCAGATAGTGAGCTGCGTGAATGATGATCTGCTTCAGGTTGACCAGAGAGCGCAGAAGCCTGTGGGTGGGGCAGGAGAGGGACCAGGGAGAAGATGGCCACAGGGAAGCTGTTTGCCTCCGCCAAAGGACAAGCCCTGAGGCCTGCCCACTGCCTACACAACACATCTTGCTTTGGGATGGTTGGCGGGGCACGGAGGGGCTGCAGAGCCCACGAGAGAGAAGGCGGCCCCCACCTGACCCCATAGTCCACCACCACTGCCTCCTTGGCGGTGCCGGTGATTGCGTCATGGTGCTGGAAGAGCCCCAGTGTGCGCCGAGCTTCCGTCAGAAGGGTGAAGTCAGAGAGCGGGTACTGGCCAGACAGTCCAGAGCGGCGGGCATGTGCTGTGGCCAGGCTAAACAGAATCTCTGCCCCCCTGCGCAGAGAGAGAAGTCAGTTGTCTGCCTGCATCACTCCCCAGGGCCCAGACATGCTTCGCAAGCCCGACCCCTCTTCCTTCTCACCACTTCTCTACTGCCTTGGACTCTGTGCCTTCTCTTCCCTTCTGAGCCAATTCAGCTCACCCTAAGCCCCAAAGGCTGACTCTACCCCTCCCCATCCAGAAGGGGAGAAGGGTCTCACCGCAGGTGGGCTTCCAGAACTCGATCTAAGCTCTTGTAGAAAGGCCGGGAAGTGTAATAGCCTGTCCAGTAGTGATCCTCCCGGTCCGCATAGGAGAAGAAATCCCCACTCAGCACAGGAAACCCTGGAGGCCGGGCCCCTGGTTCCACGCCTGTCTTCTTGTACAGGGCATCAAAATAGTCAGAGAGGGTGCCAAACTGGGCCTGTGGGGACCCCAAAAACCCATTCCCATCAGTTCTAGAGTCTCCTGGAGATTGTGGCCACCAGGGCTGCAGCAAGCGGTTGGTGGAGATGCCAGCCCTTCTGGACCTAACAAGAAGTGGGAAGCCTGGGAGTCAATCCTGGCACAAAAGGAGAATTTTGCCCAAAGGTCAAGATAAAAACCCCGCTTTGGAGCTGGGAGGCAAGAGTGTGAATTCTCATGAGAAGGGGTGGGCTACAGTACTGCGGAGACCCCTGGTCACCTCCCCAGGCAAGCCCCCTCACCTGCACATGAAGGTCAGGCCTGCTGTTAAAGAAGTCAAAGAGTCGCTGGTAGTTGAAGAACTGGGCATCCCACTCCTGGGGTTTGTCATATCGGAAGTCATCACCAAGGGGCACCAGGAGGACATTGCTTCGGAATAGCCGGGACTTCTTCCGGTACTGGTCCAGAAGCAGGGCTGCCCTGGGGCAGAGGCAGACACAGGCGCAACGTGATGTCTCAGCAGTAAAAGACCACCGAGCAGAGCCACCTGAGAGCCAGTCCCTCTGAAACCCCCCATCAAGGAGTCGTTCTGCCTGTGGGTGGATACTTCCTGGGACAGGAATCCCGGCCCCATGAGAATCTAGTGTTCTCTGGACAGTTCTGACAACCAGAGAGTTCCTTCTTATGCTAGCCAGCGACCGACAGTTTTGACTGCCTGACCCCACTTCTGTCCTTTGACACCATACAGAACAAAGCAGTTCTTCCCACGACTATCCTTCAGACATAGCAAAGATGTGCTCATGTTCCTCCGTGCTTTCTCTACTTGGTCCCTATATGACGGTTGAGAATCTGCTCACCAGGGGTTCTCTGGCCAGTGTCCCTTGGAGTCAGAGACCTGGGGCTGGATAGGGTGGTCCAACCCACAAAGGGAAGACAGAGCAGTACCCCCTGGCCAGGTTAACACTCCCATGGGAATAGCGTCTATTTACACAGACACATGTAGCAGCCCCTGCAGTAACTCTGCGGTGCCTTTGTTAGTTACCATGTTTTCTACATATGTGGCTCAGCAAAGTCTTTTCATCCTGAACTTTCATGTTCTGTTTTCTGAAGCTAAGGGGGGAGCCTTATATTTATACCTTATCAATCATATCTGGTTGGATTCGATCTACCTTCCAACATGTTGAGATCGTTGGGGATCTGATTCTGTTCTCTGGATAGCCTCACCGCCCACCAGTCAGCAGTAAAGTACTGGAGTTGAGAGCCTAGACTCCAGAGCCATGTCACGCCAGCACCAGCGCTGCAAGTACTTGCTGGTAACCTTGGGCAAGTGACAATCTCTTGGTTTCCGGTAAAATGAGGATAACACCTGAATGTACCCATATAATGTTACAAGAATGCAAGTGAATTGAATGAATATTTGTTAAGCACTTAGAATAGTGCCTGACATAATAGGAACTATATATAAACATATTTTTATTTTCTTTTCACCCAAATTATTGGCATAATCAGTAGAAAAATAGAGCCCTGTGGCACGAGAGGCCCCTTCCTGTTTTAATTGGCATGTTATAAATATCACAGTTCAAAGAGTCACTAATCTACTTAGCTGTGCTTCTCCTTTTCTGTTTTGTTCTCAAGAGAGGATTCCTCAAATACCACTTTCCCCTAATCTATCAGTCTGGTAAGCTTTCGAAAGAGAAAATGAAGTTATTTCATGGCCTTTTCTCTGTGAACCTAGGCTAGCCTCACTGACCATAGCTGCTGCCTTAAGAAAAACCATGCCTTAGATTCTTGCCTGGAATCATTCAGATTTCTAGAAACAAAAGACCTTTTTCTTTCCCTTTGGTTACATTTCACCTCTAGGATATCATGGAGATCAGAGCATTGCAAAAAAAAAAAAAACCAGTTCAACTTGTTATACTCTTAAGGTTCTGGCTAAATCGCTGTTTAGATCAATCTTTTTCTCTTTTTTTTTTTGAGCTGGAGTCTCACTCTGTTGCCTAGGCTAGAGTGCAGTGACACACTCACAGCTACTTTAGCCTCGACCTGCTGGGCTCAAGCAATCCTTCCACCTCAGCCTTCCAAGTAACTGGAACTACAGGTGTGCGCCACCATGCCTGGCTAATTTTTCTTGATTTATTGTAGAGATGAGGTCTTGCCAAATTGCCCAGGCTGGTCTGGAATCCTGAGCTCAGGCAATCCTCTTGCCTCCACCTCCCAAAGTGCTGGTATGACAGGCATGAGCCACCACACCTGGCTGTTTAGATTGTTCTTGACCAGTATTTTCCCAAGGGGCTGATTTCAGCAAGACTGACATCTTTAGGGGTCCCTACTGACTTTCTCAAAAGGGACATGGCTGTTTCCCAGAGGCTGAAGGCTGTCTGGTGGGACTGAATGTGGATCTGAAAGGATTCCAGGTCTACTACACTGAGGATCCTGGTTGACTTGGAGCCCAGTCACAATCCCTGAGCTAAACGAAGGTACCTTGGCCTGAGGTTTGTAGAACTATGAATAATCTGAGAATCATGCCCTCTGAGTTAGTCAGCTGGTTCTGGCAGTTTGTCTTAGCACCACAGAACATACTCATTTGGGAAGATAAAAGCATCCTGGGAAAAGTGTTTACTTAGAGCCATTCCAGCTTTTCTGGGAGACTCGGTAAGGAGCGCTTGCAGCTGCTGAATGACCACCTGAGCCCACCTTCTACTTTCTAAACATGGCTGCATCATGCAGCCCCCATGTGGTGCAGCACGGCCCAGACCAGAGGCCAGGCTTCCTGAATCCTCTGTGGAGCAAAAGGGCTGGAAGCAGATACCTCTCTGCCACGTTGGCCTCTGTGATGGCCCGGGGTGGCACCTTCCAAGGGCAGTTGATGCGCCCACCAGGCAGGCGTTTGAAATCAAACTGGCAGCAGATCTTGGGATCTGGGCCACAGGTATGGGGGACGTCATAGCTGTAGAAGGGCATCATGTGGCAGAAGATATCTGTGCTGGAGTCCGAGTCTGTAGAAGACACGCCATGTGGTCAGCCACCAGCAGGCAGCCTCTGGAGCAGGGCACAGGGACGTCAGGGGAAGGATTCGCTTAGGCTAAAGGCAGCCCTGACGGACAGTGAGGCTGTATTGGACTTAAGACTAGAAAGAGCATGCAGGTCAGGACCAGACAGGGGAGATCCGGAGCCCACAGCTCCTTCAGGGAAGATGCACACAGGGCACACCAAGGCTCTTGGAACAGAGAGCAGGCCCCAGGAGGCCAGAAATCAACGTGATCCTTCTCTAACCTGAAGTCTGTACTAGCGCCTGTGGATCTGCTCTGAAGCACAGTGTGGGGTCTTATTTCTAATATCCCTGCTGTTCCCTCGTGAACACTACACTGCCGTGACCCCCTCTACTCTACCTGACCTTACCCCATGTTTGCCTCCACATGAACTCCAGGCTATGGGTGGCAGCAAAGTGCTTCTTGATGGCATAATGCACCCTCTGAATCAGCATGCTGGTCAGGTTGGCACGGCGCAGGAGGTAAGGCATGGTGGAGCTGTATCCGAAGGGGTCCACTGCCCAGCCAGAGCGCGGGGTTGCACCTGGGCAGGGCACAGAAGCCAGACATGCCCTGAACACCACAGGGCCTGGCCTCTCAGCCTCCTGCTGGGACCCCAGTCCCGCCTTGGCAGAGGGCAGACAGATACCATCACACCAGGCCCGCACTGGGAGGGTAAGCCTCGAAAGGGGATCACCCCTTGGCAATCCCTGGGACCTCCAGCACCCCGCCACAGCACTGAGGGCAGACCCCATGCCTGGGCCTGGACTCACCAAGGTTTCTCTCCAGCCACTGGTGTCCTTCAATGAGCTGGTCAATCAATGCAAAGTAGTGGGAGTTGGCCTCATCCGGCATCACCCAGCCTCCTGTCGCAATCTCCAGCTGCCCGTTTCCCACCAACCTATAGTTAGGGACTCACACTCAGCAAGCATGAAGTGGGGACCCTTATGCCTAGTGCTGCCAACCAGATGTCAGGGCCTACGTGTATTGGCCTCAGTGAGCCAGTTCACCTGGACCCACACTAGCTCTCCTTTCCTCCCAGTCAACTACCATGCTGCCCCAGCCCTGCTCATCTCGAGACCTTTGTCTGTGCTTCTAGGGGGAAGGCCCCACGCAGTCTGTTATGCTCACACAGCTTCGCTTTCATCTAATGCTAGTGGCCCAGCACTTGTATCCTCCCCTCCCCCATCATTCCTCATCTCTGCAACAGCTCCCTGTGCCTCTCCCTACCACCCTGACACCCACCGCTTAGGTGAGACCTGCCCACCCAGCCTGGGGTTCAAACAACAGCCCTCCCACACCTCCCTGCCTGGCACTGGCCTTCGGACTGCCGCTTTCTTTTGGGCATTGATGTTGTCCCACCACTTGGCGAAGAAGGAGACTTCCGCCCAGAGGAAGCGCCGCCGGGGGTCCTCCTGCAGCTTGGACACCATGCTGTTGAGGATGTGTTGGGTCTGCTCTGTGTAGTACTTGTCAAAGGTCTTGATCCAGCCTGGGGAGCCAACGGAGGGTCCCCTAAGGATGCCATCAACTGCTTCAACTGTACCTCCCTTACACTGGCCATGAACAAGACCACTTCACACCCCAGCTCCAGGGGTCTGCAGGGCCCTCACCTGGGTCATTGTGAGAATGGGGTACCACGAACACCTGCAGGTCTTCAGCATCCCAGTCGTGTGGCCCATAGGAGATATCAAAGCCTTGCCGCCACACCCCACCATCCATGTTGTCAAACGGCAACTCCTCTGACACAGTGAGCATCTGCCAGGCAGGGACGTGGCTCAGTGCCCCCTCCATGGCCACCAGAAGCCCCTGCCAGCTCAGACTCTTACCTGCAGCTCTGGCTTCTGACCCCGGCCTCCCAAAGCAAACTGGCAGTCCTGAGGGGAGACGGAGAAGAAGCTCGGCCGGGGCTCCGGCGGCACCACCCAGGAGCCGTTGGCTGTGTAGTAGGGCAGCAGGGCGGGAGGGCCCTCTGCGTTGGCTGTCAGCTCCAGCACAGAGTCCTTGATGTGGCTGATAATCTCATGGTTCTCCTCCAACAGCTGCTCCAGCTGCTCGATGCGGTTCTGCAGCACAGAAATTTGGCTCTGCCAAAAAACCAGAAAGCAATCACCACAGCTTCTTAGCCACAGCGAGGAGGGTCTCTGCCTGGGGCCTGTCACCTGAGGCCTGACTATGATCCTTCCCTCCTCCGTTGAAGCCAGACCACAAGACCAGGGACGGGTGGCGCTGGTCAGATTGGAGGAGATGTACACGTCACCACTGAGTGCCGTCACTCTCTAGCTCATGCATGGCAAAGATTTCCTCTTACTCGCCTATGCTCAACAGTCAGTGTTGTCTGTCTGGAGCACTGGGCTGAGAGGGATTGCATCAGGGCTTAATGGGAAAAAATGCTGCAATCCATTAGCAATGTCTGCCAGGAACTCAGAAGGACAGACAGCAATACCCATTGCCATTTTTTTCTTCTTTCTTTCTTTCTGCCATCACTGTTTCTAGCTTTGGGTTTCTACAACACCTGCTGAACCATCAGGTTGGGAAGGAATGTTCCTGTCCTGTACTGACATGAGTCTCCAGCCCAGGAGATAACCTGAGCCCAAATGACTTAAATACAAAGAAATTAGCAACCAGACACACTCACCCGGGGGAAGTTCCCGCCATTCTGGTGTCGGATGGGATCATGCTGCACTCGATCCAGCATGAGGTAGAGGGAGAAGACGGCCACACAGAAGATAGCAGCCCCACACACTGTCACTTGCTTTTTCAGCTTCATACTGGCCTCCAGACACACCTGGCAAGAAGGATACCATCTGTAGCTCCAGTATGCAAAATCCCTTTGGTGGTCTTTCCACCAGTGAGTTCCTCGGGTTGTTCCCAGGGAACACCTATTTGTCTGACTCCAGTAAAAAGCAAGCTTCTAAGTGCCAACTCCCAACATTAGCTGTGGATCCTGGCTCAACCCTGACTTTTTTTGTTTTTAGTTGGAGTCTCCCAGGACAGAGGGCAGTGGCACAATGATGGCTCACTGCAGCTTCAACTTCCTGGGTTGAAGTCCTTCTGCCTCAGCCTCCCGAGTAGCTGGGACTACAGGTGTGCCCCATCACGTGCAGTTAATTTTTTGATTTTGTGTAGACACATGTCTCCCTGTGTTGCTTAAGCTGGTCTCAACCTCCTGGGCTCAAGTAATCCTCTGGCCTCGGCTTCTCAAAGTGCTGGGATCATAGCTGTGAAGCACAGTGCCTGGTCCAACCTTGATTTTGATTGTCTTGGCTAAGACTCAGAAAGTACAAGTGAGCTGGGTTCGGTGGTTCAGCCTGTAATCCCAGAGCTTTGGGAGGCTGAGGTGAGTGGATTGCCTGAGCCCGCGGGTTCGAGACCTGCCTGGG